CGAGATAAATGTACAGTGCCTGTAAATAATGGAATATTTGGTGGCGATCCTTGCCGAGGAACTCGTAAATATCTTGAGGTACAGTACGAGTACGAGACTGTAAGTCTGTTTTATAATCAGTATTCATTTGTGCATTGTGCCTGCATGAGTATAACATGTCTGTGATGGAGCATGGTTGAAAATAGACAAGTTTTCAGTTCCTTGGTTGTAAATCTAACATGTGCTCAAAGAGAAGGGGTGTGTCAAATCACTTAGACTCACCAGTCTAAAAAAATAAGCAGTATTAAGCAGATATTTTACTATAGCGGCTTCAGTTTTGTTTTGAACATGCTAATTCTGTATTGTAGTCATCTAAGTTACCTTTGAAATGTAATATATATCATTTTGGTATCTATGCATATGTTTGTAAGATATTTCTGGGAGAACATACAATCATGTCTATTCAACTTGTGAAAACCTGAGACAAGCTGGCTCTGGGCGGACTGCTTGTAAAATCAAACCCCTTTCTCTCATGAATGCACTCAGTAATGTAAGCATGCATGGAACACTCCCTAAACTGGAAACTTATCTATTGTGCATTGCATTGTTTCTGTTGAAGCATGGTCAATAATTGTGCTAAAACAAAAATACTGAAGTCTGCATGGGTATGCCATTCAGAGATTCCAAACAATAAAAACAATTGTTGACACAAGCACAATTATTGGCTTTGCTTTTTTATATTATTTTTTTCTATTTTCTCTTTTATTCTCTCTATCTTGCGACTTCTGCTTTCTGTTGGTGTTGGTGGTGGTTTTTAGATGCTCTGGTTTGCTTCAATGTAGTATAAACACATCATCAGAAATATTCAGTGATCCGTGTACAACTGTCAAGAAATACTTGGAAGTCAGATTCCAATGTGTTCGACCATGTAAGTGCTTATTAAAAAACAACAAACAGCTAACACTTACTTGTAGAATGTATGATTATTGTCCCATTACAAGCTATCAGTTTTATCCACATTGAATTATAGTAATTTTTGATGTCATTGGTTGTGATTCAAATATCATTGAATTCAAGCAATGTATCATAAACTCTTATGAAGTGTGAGAGTTTGGGTGCATTATGGGAACTAATTTGACAAAATGTAGAAATTCAAATGAAATAGAAAACTTAATAATTCAAATAGCCATGACCGAATATATATTTTATGCAAAGAAAATGAAATCCTATACAAGATCCAAAAAATTCAAAATAAGGGTAGAATTCAAAGTAAAAACATAATTTTGAGTAAAAATGATAGCTGTGGTGAAGTATGTGTGCAGATAATATCTATGAATGGTTTTGTGATTGATTAATTTACTATCTCTGATTGTGCTACATCTTTATCTAATTCTATTTGTTGATAAATTTGATATAATCATGTATTTATAATTCTTTATTTTGTTTCACATTTTTAATCACAACCGCAATTGATGTTCATGGTAAGCATTCTAGGATTTCTGTACAAAAAGAAAATGACAAATTTTGAATTAATGAATTGCAATAGAAATCT